TGCTTAAATTTCCATGTGAGAAAAAAATGGGACACATGTTCACAATGAGGGATGCAATACACAGAACTTTTCCTGAAGTCTGCCCTTTTGGTTCTAATAATATTATTAGGTTAAATCTTAGACGTGAATGACCTTCTGACTCATGATATTTAGGTGCTGCTGCTTGGTTACTCTTTAGAGCTTTGTGGTTGCCTAGAATAGGTTTAATTAAAAAATCAGAATAGTCCCAGGCCCCTGTTGCTCAGTCATTAGAGCATCACCCCACACACTGAAGGGTTGCAGGTTTGAATCCTAGTCAAGAGCAAGTAATTGAATTGCAGGTCAATCCCCAGCCCCCAGTTAGGGTGTGTGTGGCAGGCAACCAATTGATACATCTGTCTTGCATCTATGTTTCTCTCTCTCCCCTCCCTCCCAACTATATATATAGTTGATTTCAGAGAGGAAGTGAGAGAATGAGAGAGACAGAGAGAAACATCAGTGAGAATCATTGATCAACTGCCTCCTGCATGCCCCCTTACTGGGGATTGAGCCCACAACCAGGCATGTGCCCTTGGCTGGAATCAAACCCAGGACCCTTTAGTCTGCAGGCCAGTGCTCTATTTACTAAGTGGTCAGCAAACTTTGACTTGCAAACCACAAGCTCTTTGGCCCCTTGAGTGTGGCTCTTGCACAAAATACCACATGCGGGCATGCACGTACAGTGCGTTTGAAATTTCGTGGCCCATGCTCAGAATTCGATTTTTGGTTCTCAAAAGAAATTTCAATCGTACTGTTGATATTTAGCTCTGTTGATTAATGAGTTTGTCAACCACTGCACTAAGCCAAACCAGCTAGGGTCCTCCCTACCAACTTTTTAAAAATCAATGGAAAAAATAACCTTTGATAAGGATTAATCCTATCTAATAAAAAGGAAGTATGCTTTTATTTTTTTATTTTTTATAAAATATATTTTATTGATTTTGTACAGAGAGGGAAAGAGATAGTTAGAAACATCGATGAGAGAGAGTCATCGATCAGCTGCCTCTTGCACACCCCCTACTGGGGATATGCCCACAACCAAGGTACATGCCCTTGACCGGAATCAAACCCGGGACCTTTCAGTCCCCAAACCGACACTCTATCCATTGAGCCAAACTGGTTTTGGCAAAAGGAAGTATGTTAATTGACCATTGCACCCTCACAAATATGGCTACACCCATAGCCAATAAGGAGGGGATATGCTAATTGACTGCCACACTCTCAAAGATGGCAGCACCCACAGCCACAAGATGGCAGCGCCTAGTCTCCTCAGCCCCGCTGGGGCAGCAGGTGCGCGCGGCACAGCTGGGCCAGCCCTCTTGTGGGTCCAGCTGCTCTGCAAACCTGCTTTAGGAGTCCCCTAGTCCCCTCAGCTCCCCAGCCGCCCAGAGCTAGCCCACGGCACAGGCAAGCCTCAGATGGCGGCTGCTCAGTCGCCCAGGGCTGCCCAAGGCTCACGTAACCAGGGCTGTTCGAGGCTTGCGCTGCCAGCAGTGGCAGCAACAGAGGTGTGATGGAGGCATTGCCTTCCCCAGTCATTGGGTCACATCCTCCCCCCCCCCCCCCGCCCATGCAAGAATTTCATGCACCAGACCTCTAGTAAAAAAATAAAATAAAAATTAAGATGGGAAGACCAAGGTGAAAGTTCTAGGAGAGGTAAATTATAAAAACAGCTTTGTTTCCCATAAAAGTTATCTTGATCTCTGCTCAGGAACACCGTCATGCCTGAACTTTTAGAATTTTTTTCCTAAGCCAATGTGAGGGTTTCAGAATATCATTGGAAAGGGTTAAAAGTTAAGGTTTTACTGTTAGTGAGATGTTTTACTTCTAAATGCATGAGAAAACGATAGCTTGGCTAGTTTAGTGGGCAAAAAGGACGATACAAATAGCAGTGGCCATTTTATGTCATTGTGGTAACATTCAGGAAAAGGATTGAGTCCTTAGTTTGAAAACATTGTAGGCTTTTCTTTTAAAGAAAAGTTTTTTTTTTCCGGCTTTAGCCTGGCTGCTCTTCAAATAAAATCACAAAGGAACAAGACACTATAAACAACCATCCCACCCCCGAACAGGACTGCATAGACAAGCAGGCGCTCATGGCCAAAGCCGTGAAGGCAGCAAGAGCTACAGCGAGCAGAGGCAACTGGGGGTCCCCAAAAGAGTGACAAGTGGACTAACACTGCTGTTGTCCTCAGATGTTGATATATTGGCAAGACAAACAGTAGGCGCAGGGCTGACTTGCTACTTTTAGCCCCTTATTTCAAAGGCAATTGAAGATCTTCTGGAGCTAGGAGGGTCTTGTGTGTAGAAATATAAGCAGATACTCTGACCATGACTGCTTCTTTTTCATCTTAAGTACTGTGATCCCTTCTCTCATTTCTTTCTCCTTCATCTTCATCTCTCTGTGAGATGACATGTAGGATTCTTTTTGTTCTCTAATTCCTAGCTTGTTTTTTGTCTTGGCTGAACTATGGCAATTTTCCTCATTTGGCCAGAGGAAAACTGAAAACCAAGGAGAGAAACTTGAATCTAAATTCTGCCTCAGATGTCAGATTATACATTCTCAGCTATGGGAGGGAACATTGAGGCCACCACACTCCCTCCTACTGGGATACAAGAGAATGAAAAAGAACCCACATCACTTCTTAGAACTAATTAATGAGCTGACTTTGGAGGCCATTTCCCTCTCAGTGGAGAAATGTTGGTTGGAGGCAGAGCTAAAGCAATGGAAAAGGGTTTCTAAAAGAAGACAGATAGTGTTAGGTTACTAGGTCTTTGTTTCTGTTTGGAGGGGTTGGTCTATAGTCTACGCGCGCGCACACATACACACACACACAAACCCAAACAGCTCAGGCAGTGTAAGTCCAGCTAAACGTCATTGGTCTGTAGCATTCTTTCCTACTAAAAATTAGGATACGTAGTCATGTGTAGCTTGCCATTCATTTATGTCATCCTTTTTTACTTCAAGGTAATTATCCCAAAGGTCCTAATTATGGGCATCTGGGGAAGAAATATCTCCATGGCTTTCATTTGCTTGGCTATCCTTATCTCTGCCTGATTCCTTTCCACCTTCCCCTTGAGTTGTTATTGCCTCAAAAATATAACTTGCCTGCCCATAGAAGGTTGGCTTTCAGTGACTGGTAGGTCATCTGCCTATTCATGTTACCCCTTAGACTGAAGATTTAGTGTTGTAACATGGCAAATATTGTGGGGTGGGTAGAATGCCAGAGGAATCAGTCGCTTCTTGCTGGTTTTCTCTCATTAGATAATGTAGTTTATAGTCTAATTACAGCCTAATTTGTGCTTGCTGGGCAGACCCTCCTGTATTCCTGCCTGCCTTCATTCCTACAAGCATCATTAGCACCATTGTCCTTGGGGCAGAGTTATATAGGAAATCTAGATTGAGAAAGCTATAATCCTAATTGTGTCTCGATTCATTATCATTATTTAAAATAACTAGTTCCAATTATCTATTGTGAATCACACAAGATGGAGAATTAGCCACAACCTAAGATCTCTGGGCCTGCTGGGTGTAGGCAGAACAGTGTCTTTCTTCAACCCTAGTCATTCCCTCTCTCCGCTGCCCCCAGTTCTGCCTCATGGCAAATGTGGTTTCCCTAGGCATCCTCATCTATAGGCCCTTTCTCTAGTCTAGACCATGCTCTGGTGTGTTCCTGGCAGTGGTTCCTGCTGCCTGCCCAGTATGTAGGTGCCTACTGTTGGGCAGTAGCTCATTGCTCTGGCATCCTAATGTGTAAATATTTGTCAAAGGACTAGGGCATTTTCCCATTCCCCAAAAAGCATTCTGAAAAACATACCTGTTTTCTTAGTCATATTTCCAAACTGTGGATCAGTTAGCCCATTCATTCCTTGCAGTTGACAGACACTGGCCTGGCCTCATCTGACCACATAAAGTAAGTATGCAGTAACTTCCGGCCCAGTAACTTTAAAGCTTTAGTACCAAGGAGTCCTGGACCTCAAGGAACCATAGACAACATAGTCACAATTAGAGAGCACATTGCTTCATTAATAGAAAGAATTACGTATTTCCTGTTCAAGCATTTTAATTTCTTTCTTTCATACTTGACATCAGAGGCGAAATTGAAATCAACAAAAATTAAAAGGCTAACCATACAGATACTGGGGAGAACTTTACTCTTTAACTTTACTTTCAGGCCTCATGTTATATTGGTTTTTATACTATATTCAAGTGTGCCTCTATAAAAGGTAAAATTGCTGAACTACTATCAGTTTATAAGTATTTTGCCCAGTATAATTGATGATTTATCCTGTTATCCAGGTCTGCTTGAAACCAAAATAATTTGTCTCTGCAAGATAGCTTAAAGGCTAAAAGACAATCTTTAGCATTGAACCAAAGTTTCCTATCTTTGTGTAAAACCAGGTGACCCACATATAAGAATTGAACTGTTGGTCTTAGCCTTGTTAACAGATTTGACCCAATCCTGTCTTCTGGCCAGCATCTGCCCATATGTATCCCCAACTCCATCCTATATAATAAAGTTGTAATATGCAAATGGTTGTTACACCGTTAAGCGTAACAACTGACTGCGTAACGACCGTATCATGGAGCTCCAGAAGGGGGCAGGGCAGCAAGCTATGAGGATGGGCAAAGGAGAGGGAGACAGGGGGAGCTACAGGAGGGCGGGGCAGCAAGAGGAGAGCTACTGGGGGGCAGCAGTGAGCTACTGGCAAGCTACTGGTGCACAGATTCGAGTGCAGGGCTACTAGTTATATGTAGAATCTCAGCTTTTTGTTTGCACTATTTATAACCACCTCACTGTGTATAGCCTCCCTTCTAGTCAGAATTGGATACAGGGCCGTGAGGCTGTTGCATGTTAAAGTCTTAAGTGAATTATTTAGGAAACAATAGCGTCTGTTGTACAATACAACTGCTTTTCCTTCATACAACAATTATTATGAAAGGCCTGATACATATAATACATACCTATATTTTCTTCCCACAGATCATCAATTTCTACATGAATATGCTGATGGAGCGAAGTAAAGATAAGGGATTGCCAAGTGTACATGCATTTAACACCTTTTTTTTTACTAAGTTAAAAACAGCTGGTTACCAGGCTGTGAAACGATGGACAAAGAAAGTGGATGTATTTTCTGTTGACATCCTTTTGGTGCCCATTCACCTGGGAGTGCACTGGTGTCTTGCTGTGAGTACCCATTTGTTTTAGGTAAAATTTTAAAGGAATTTATATAATTATAGAATACACAGAGAATAGTGAGTATTAGTTCTGTGTCTTCACTGGATGATTGAGAGAACAGTAGTATTTATTTATTTATTTATTTTTAATATATATTTTATTGATTTTGTACAGAGAGGAAGGGAGAGGGATAGAGAGTTAGAAACATCGATGAGAGAGAGTCATCGTTCAGCTGCCTCTTGCACACTCCCTACTGGGGATATGCCCGCAACCAAGGTACATGCCCTTGACCGGAATCGAACCCGGGTCCCTTCAGTCCCCAAGCTGACGCTCTATCCATTGAGCCAAACCTGTTTCGGCGAGAACAGTAGTATTTAGTTGGCTAGAAACTGGATGGATCAATGAACTTTCTGTCAAGAGTGAGAGGTACTTAGACTTTGAAGAAAGCCGTGGAATTTCCTTTTCTGGAAATACTTAAAAAGGAATTATAAGTCTGAGCAGCCTCAATGCAAAAGCATGGGGAATAAAGGTGACTTTTTAGATTTTTACACTCCCATCCTCTTTGTTATGCAGAGCAATTCAGTAATTTCTCCACTGCATCTGTCTTTTCAGGCTCTATCCCATCTTTTAAAAGCTACATGTGTCATTAAGGTATTTTCCTAAACAAAAAGAATTCCTTCCTGTAGAGGGATTCCTGCAGAGGAATTATTTATTTATTTATTTAGTTAGTTAGTTAGTTTAATTCTTTATTTCCTTCTCTTGTACTCAGATCATGTTTGACAATTTTGGAACTCTGTGTAAGGATATCAATAAACTGCAAGGCAAGAGAATCAAAATAAAATTTAGCTCAATTTATCAAAACCTGTATAAAAAGTGGCTTCATAATGATGCTGCCAATTCAGATCCCGTGGCTATTATTTTCTGCCTAACCATGACTTGGCCTTGCATACTTGGTGATTGAATTTTTTTATGACTCTGAGAACATGGTCTAGCGTATTAATGAAAGTATAAGAGTTATTTCAAAGTCTTTTTTGAATTACATTTTAAAAACCTAAAGCCAAAGGGAATTCTCCAGGTAAAGAAATGACATCCATAATCTATTATCATCTTTCTGAAACTGTGGACTTACATTCTCTGAAGAACATGTTGTGTCTTCATTGTTGCCCACATTGTGATGGGAACCCCAATTACAGAAAAAGGTTTTAGGGCAATTAATGGGGTCAGCAGCTGATCAGCCCCCACTGTAGTTCTGTATTCTTGTGTCTTATGCAGATTAAGCATGGTGTAATGCACAGTATCAATCATACTTGTTATGATTTCACAGGAAATCTAGCAAAAGGTTCCAGGGAAGGGAAAAGCTAAAAAATCGTTTTCTTCACTTTATAAAGACAGATTTATTTTTTATTTTATTTTTTATTCCTAGGTTGTGGACTTTAGAAAGAAGAATATTACCTATTACGATTCCATGGGTGGGATAAACAACGAAGCCTGCAGAATTCTTTTGTAAGTAAGGAGTTGAGGACGGAAGAGTCTGGTGTCAGTCTTCCAGCTATTGGTCTCAGTTATACCTTCAGTGAACTAATAAATAAAGGAAATTCTCATATTAAGTAAGAATGGATATTTTACATCTAAGTAAAGTTTAATAATGTACTAATACCAAATACATACTCTAATAGGGACAATTACTGTCCCAGTGCACTAAAATATAGAGTGGGTATGTATAAATAGATTGAGAAATTATTTTGAAATCATCTAATCCAACCTCCTTTTAGATGAAGATACCAAACCCACAGAGTAATTTTTATTTGCCCAGGTCCTACTAGATAGTGGCTTAATGGGGAACCAGGATGCAAATCTGGTATACCCTATGTTTCTCTTTCCAAAATGCTTATTCCTCCCTGTACCACTCTGGTAGATAGAGTCCAGAATGGTGAACAGGTTGCACTTGTGAAGAACGCTCCACATGAAGTGTATACTCAACAGATTGTTGGCTTGGATTGAATTTTTGCACAGGAGACTCAAGACTAAAAAAAGTAAATAAATAGTTTGATATTGCTAGAGAAACATTCTTCTTCCATTAGATTGAATTTTAAAGGACCATATAAATCAAGGAAACGAGTCAAAACTCGTTCCTCAGGAGGAATAGTAGATAGAAGGAACCTGGGTATCAGAGAAGCATCGTGTTTCTCTTGGGTTGACAGGGTAGGCATGAATTGTGGGAGTCCCAAAGGAGGGTGAGCAGTGTAAAGATACCCCACCCAACATTATATACTGTTTTTCTCAGAAGCACTTATGAAAACTTCCTAAGGATTGTCTGCTCCATTCTTTGGGTGGCAGCGGTCACTCATGTTCTCCACAGCTCATCTCCTTCTCTCCCGATACCTTTAGGCAATACCTAAAGCAGGAGAGCATTGACAAGAAAAGGAAAGAGTTTGACACCAATGGCTGGCAGCTCTTCAGCAAGAAAAGCCAGGTACATTTGATCTGGATGAGATAAAAGTTCCTGACATGAGAGTGGTTGGGGAGGAAAGGGTATCACTCTTTGATTCCCAGGGACCTTCTTAGTGTCTGTCCTGCCTTCAGCTTGGTTGTTTTATTTCTTGGGGAATATAGAGAAAGTTATTTGTGGGAAAACTGGTAATGTGTTTCTTATTTGGAGCTAGGTTTTCTAAATGCCCAGCTATTTTGCTAAGCTCTTCACTCCTGTAAGATGCGTTTGCTGATTGTTTGGCCCTAGGGCAGGGACCAGTTTTTACACCCTTAGGTGCCATAGAAGTCTGAGATAGTTTCTTATGTGGTTAATATGAAGTCCACAGGCCTAACTGAGAAGCTCTATTTTTTTTTCTCTGAGTCTGTGTTGTTCTGAGTGGGGAACGAGGGATCATCTCTTCAAAATTCAGGGAAACCTGTAAAATGTATCTGCTTTGGTTCTTATTTATAGTCGAGTAAGAAGGGAGGAACCTTGGAAAGTTGTTACCGTTTCATTGTTTTTGGTCTTTCAGGAAATTCCACAGCAGATGAATGGAAGTGATTGTGGGATGTTTGCCTGCAAATATGCTGACTGCATTACCAAAGACAGACCAATCAACTTCACACAGGTGAGCCGAGGCGGCGGGGAAGGGAGCTCTCTGTCCACCCGTCTCCATGTGCCCGCTAGGTGTTTTTTCTCTACTTGCTCTGCTTACGGGGCTCTGCTTCGGCCTGTAGCTTATAACACAGGTGGTTACTGCTTGCCACATCATAAAACAAAGAATAATAATAATAATAGATCACATCCTGGGACCCCATATATTACATATTGAAGTCAAAGAATCCTGGGCAAAAGCAGAGCCTTTTTCTCTGCCCATCTCCCCAGCCTGTAAAAAACAGAGAACTGGGACCAGAGTACATTTTCAGAGCACAAGTTTCTCTATACTTTTTTAGCACTCAAGTTTTGCTAACCTAAACTAACCTTTTTTTTTTTTTTTTTTTTAAATATATTTTATTGAGTTTTTTACAGAGAGGAAGGGAGAGAGATAGAGAGTTAGAAACATCGATGAGAGAGAGTCATCGATCAGCTGCCTCTTGCACACCCCCTACTGGGGATATGCCCGCAACCAAGGTACATGCCCTTGACCGGAATTGAACCCGGGACCCTTCAGTCCCCAAGCCGACGCTCTATCCATTGAGCCAAACCGGTTTCGGCCTTTTATTTCTGTTTGAATTAATAGCTTTACTGGATTTTTCCATCATAGCCCTTGACTCTTGCAGTTCTCATCGTTCTTCCTCTAAAAAGTGACTTCTAGATTTTCAGGCCTCAGATCTTACATCCTCAAGATTTCAATGTAGAGGACTTGATAGACATTCTCAGAATTGTAGAGACATTTAGGTATAGCTGGGGGATACCTGGCAATGCCCAACAAAACTTCTGAGGACACCACAATGGAAAATAGCAGTGGATGCCTGGTCGGTGTGATTCAGTGGTTAACTATCGACATCTGAACCAGGAGGTCATGGTTCACTTCCATGTTAGGACACATGCCCAGGTTTTGGGTCCAATCCCCAGTAGAGGGCATGCAGGAGGCAGCTGATCAATGATTCTCTCTCATCATTGATGTTTCTATTTCTCCCTTCCTCTCTGAAATCAATAAAAAATATATTTAAAAAAAAGAAAGAAAATAGCAGTAGAGATACCAATAGGAAAAAGTAATGGAAAGGAAAAAGAATAACATGTAATCAAGAATGAGAAATTTGAAAGACCAAAAATGAAACAGACTAGATTGAAAACCTCAAGGAGGAAAGGAATATGGGGAAAAGAATATTGGGTTGGGATTAAAGAAATGAAAATGAAGTGAGTCTCTGTGTCCCTACAGCAACACATGCCATACTTCCGGAAGCGGATGGTCTGGGAGATTCTCCACCGAAAGCTCTTGTGAAGACTGTCTCGGTGAGCAGGCATGGACGTTGTGGGACCAGCTCTTCGTTGTCTACAGCCAGAGACCTTGGAAACAGCCACTCCCAGCCCTCTGTTCTTGTAAAGCCCTTGATCCCGGACCAGGCCCTGACAAGATGCATTCACAAGCACATCTGCCTTTCCTTTTGTATCTCAGATACTATTTTTGCAAAGAAACTTTGGTGCTGTGAAAGGGGTGAGGGACATCCCTAAGCTGAAGAGAGAGACTGTTTTTCACTTCTTCAGTTCTGCCATCTTGTTTTCAAAGGGCTCCAGCCTCACTTGGTCCCTAATTAGGGGCTGAGAGAAGCTTGGAAAGACTCTTGGTTTCATATAAAACTCTTGTTGTTAGGCCTTACTAAGAGGTAGGAAAGGGCATGGACAAAAACATAGGGATAAAAACCACCAGCATATGCACGCACACATACATACATGGTTTTCAAGAGTCCCTCCTCTAGGACTTTTCCTATTTATATGCTTCATTGTGAAATCTGTCTGCTTCTGTACCAGGCTGTTCTATTTGTAGCTTTCTCCCTCCCGAGGCACAACATATGAGCCCTGGGTGGACCCCAAAGTCCCGGGCAGTCCTTTTCTTAAAAGCAGGGGTTTGCATGTGCTCACAACACATGATACGGGAAGATCCACCCAGGGAATGGTTAGTGGAGCAACAAGGCACCACTTTTACTGCCGCCTACTTCTGACCAAGAAGAAGGACCTCAGTCTTTAGCATAAAATTCCAGCATTGGATGAATGCAAGTCTGGTTTGGTCTGTGGCTAGTTAGTTTAAATATGTTTCTAACCACAGAGAATTTAATATATATATATATATATTTCCCAGGGATATGCTTTTTTTTTTTTTAAAGGCTGAATGTGTTCATCATTTCAGCCTGTAGATTTATTTCCATTTTCCAAATTTAGCTCTAGCACGCACAGATCCCAGCCCCTATGTGAAGGGTGTTTGTGGACTTCCTAACAGAATATTTTGAGACCTGGATAAACGTTGGCTTACGGATAGAGGTTACAGAGGGAGGTGAGATTTTTCAACTGGAAAATGGGTGGAATTTGGACTGATCAACTTGAGATTGAAGAACTGCTATCCCTTTTGTTCTTTTTAGCACCACCCATCCCCTCTGAGAATTTCTCAGGCTAGATAGTGAAACGATCCAATGCCAGTGTCATTTTTGTACTCAAGTTCCAAAATAGGAACGTTTTATACTTCTTTCTGTATTGTAATAGGTAGTTTTGTACGAAATATTTTCTCCTCTTCCCTTGTACCTCATCCCCTCCAGCATTGTGCTTTCTCCCTAGGCTTATTTGAAAATTTTACTCTCTTTTATACCAAGCTCGTTTAGTACATTTTTCTATGTTTTACCACAGGTTACAATTTGAAAACTATTTTTTTTTTTTTAATATTCCATTGTTAACTGAATGTTACTGATTCCACTCCAGCAACTAGATGTTCTACCCTTTTCATAACTGCCTGCCTTTTTTGGGGGGGTGGGGGTGGGGGTGGGGTAACTACCTTTTGTTTGTTTTTCTTTTCTTCCTTTTTTTGGGGGGGAGGGGTGTTTTCTATAGGAAATAAACAGCTTCCTATATATGAGTTGCTGGAACCTTCCACATTCTCTTTTAGAAAGCAATGACATGCAGCCTCTTTGCAGGACTCCTGAACATTGACTCTGGTACTTATGTGTTTAAGTGACAACTTGAAACATGGCAGTATGGTTTAGATTTAAACTATGAGTCAGAAGACCTGAGTTTTCAGGCTCTCTCGCTATTTCCAGGGGACTCGGAACAAGGTAGTTTTCTGTATTTATTGTTTGTTTAGATTACATCTGTTTTACCTTCCTCGCAGACTTTTTGTACAGACCAAAGCAACAAATATTTATTGCCATGTATAGCAGAAAACAAAACGTGCAACAAAAGCACTATGAAAAATACATAAGATATTGTGAGTCTGTCTGAACTTGACCCCCTTTTCTGACCAATGCAGTTTTATACAGGTAGGAGTTAGTGATGCTGAGACCACCCTTCACGGTAGGAGAGAGCTGAGCTGAGACCTAGGTAGTAGCCTAAATGGCTCATTGGGACCTAAATATAGACTTAGAGTGGGCTGTTCTTTCCGGCTCGTCAATAAGAGTAGGACCCAGATTTGGTAACTTTTGCCTTCATCTGAGGGTGGGCTTTGATGACCAGGGGGGAAAAGACATCCTGTATTCCATGGCCAAGGGCATGTTTCCAATATTTTGTTTAACCTTTAAATAAGCCTATTGCTTTTCTCCTATTTTTCTCTTTCTCCTGGGCTCAGTGCTCAGAGCCAACTACCTCCCCCAAAAAAGGAATGTTTGAGGGATGATAAGCTGTAGGTGCCAGACATCAAGCCTTCAGCAGAAACCATAGCCCAGCAGTCCCTCCTGGGCCCTGTTCAGAGAAAGCCAGCCCATTCCAGCCCGTTTGAAATAACATGGCCTGAAACAGAGATTGGTTCTATCCCATTTGTCATCTGGGACCCATTGTTGCCTCTGGGTCCTGTTTAAGGGTTGAATGTAAGTACCTTTTCCTATCCAACCTGGAGACTGTGTAAATGAACTCTTCTATCTATGAAGTGCTTCACACTTCTCTGTAATATCAACTTCTCTTTAGCCCCTGTAATCGCACTACCCACTGTTCCTACTAATATTAGGCTCAGGTTTTAGTGATCTTGGGATGGAAACATAACCTGGAAGAGCACTTCCAACCATCCCATCCCATAGCCTATCCATCACCACCTGGCTTTACATGCTCACAAAAGGCTCTAGTGGGGGGAGGGAGAGGGTTAATACAAGAGCCCAGTGTTTTTTGCTGTCTCAGCCTCTGGTCTTTCTCCTCGGCGATCCCTCCAGCCCTCAAAAACGCCTCCCAGTTTGAGAGAAATGACTGACACTAGGGCTTTGTCTTCTCCCTTGCTGCACCTGCATGGGTCAAGGTGAAGTGGTATATGATGCTTTCACCCTGTGACTTCACATACCAAGAGAATTGGAAGAGGAGGTGAAAGGTATCAGGCCCTGTTGACTCAAACAGGCTGCCTGCTAAGCTTGTGACAAAGTTGCCATATTTCCCTAGAACAATCTAGGGAGAGCTTAAAATTCATCCTAAAATTCTGGGAAGGACAAGTAAGATCCAGCCCAGTTCCTTACCATCCAGAGCCTTACTTCACCTGTGCTAACTCCTAACATCTGTTCTATTAAGAGCCCGTAACTACCATTCCCAGCTTTGGAGGTGGGAAGGAACACAAGAGCATGGGAAGTCATGCTGGTCACACATTAAGGGGGAACTTACACATGTATCCTCTGGGAGATAGAAAAGAGAAACTAGTAAACTTTGAGCTAGAAGATAAAGCTTGAGGAAATACTCATGTGAGCTGCCTCTCTGCCAATCGGGTAGAGATGGGATCATTCCAGTTGTGAGGGGTTGGACCAGATGTTTAGAGTCTCGTCAAAGTCTTAAGATTCTGAAACGTGAGGGCCACAATGCTGCTTGGAATAGAAATCAGTCAAGGTTCAAGGTTAAAGTTTAAGGCCCAGGTCAGTCTTATCCTGATGGGAGTACTCATAGCTGCTAATTTTTCTCTATTTTCAGCTGAGGAGTAACATCCATTGCTTGATTTCCCAAGATTGTCCTTCCACCCTTCACAGAATATAAGTGCATGAGGGAGAGGTGTGTGCCCAAGGAGCACAGTCTTCAGTCTGCTGGGTGCCCTTCATTCAGTTAATTACTTTTATTCTTTTCACAAATACAGAGCACACACACCCAATTCCCATCTTCTTGAAGCCTTCCCTGATCACATTATCTTAATATCCTTACCTGGGCATCTGCAGCCCTTATAATCAGAAAATAGTATAACTCCACATAGTGTTTGCCTTGAATCTGCCTCTGACATCAAAAATGGACTGAGACGCACCAGGAGGGCAGGTGAATGATTTGGTGCTTTTTTCCCTAAGCCAGGAGTGTAAGCTCTCTCTGGCCTGCCAGTGAGGAGGTAGGGATAACTAAAACTTTTATTTAGAAAGACAGTATTGTAGGACTCAGGGGAAGAAGGACCAATCACGGTAGCCTGCAGTGAGGCTGCACCTCCTTTGTGGACCACAGCGGTTCATCTCCGGGCCCAAACCTAACGTGCTGCTCTGGCCCTAACAAGCAGGCCTCGCTCAGCAGTTCCGCATGCCCTTCGGAAGTCTCAGCCCCTATCCTAGGCAGCTAATCAGAATAGAAGTAATTAACTGAATGACGGGTGCCCTGCAGACTGAAGGTGTGTGTTTGTTTTCCCCCTTAACCACATATATTTCTTTTTTTAAAATATTTTTAAATTGAGATTTCGAGAGGAAGAGAAACATTGATGTGAGAGTGGAACGTCAATTGGCTGGTGCCTGCAGCCCTCCCACCCCCCAAGGGATTGAGCCTACAACCTGGGCATGTGCCCTGACCAAGAATTGAACCTTTTGGTACGTGGGACAGTGCCCAACCAACTGAACAGCACTGGCCGGAGCCACATTTCTATTAGGTATAGTTTTCTCCATCTTTTTTATTCCCAGTGATACTGTACAACGCTTACGGGTCCCTTTCTAACTGCCTTGTCCTTTAAATGGACTGTTTTACATGCTGCCTGTACTGAGTCTATTAGCCAAAGCTAAGTTCCTGGAGGGCATTTGCCTTATACTTCTGGGGAGCCCATTACCCTAGGTCAGTGTTTCCCAAAGTGTTGTACGCATACCCCCAGGGGTATGGGAAGAGTTTGGTGGGGATATGCACTGCACCGTGCTTAGCTGCGCCTAATTCTACGTTCTCATGAGTACGAGGGGTACTCAGCGTTACGAAAATTATAGAAGAGGTGCACATATGTCAAAAGTTTGGGAAACACTGCCCTAGGTGATTAATAAGCATGTGTTGAAGCACTGAGCTTGGGAGCCCCGATGGGTGGAATGAAGAGATGGTTTGACCAAGGAAATAAAAGCCACCTGTCCTCAAGGTCCTACAGTCTAACATTTGAGAGGTCAGAAAGACACCAAGCAATGTACCTTATGGAGAAGGCAGGCTCAAGGCACACAGTCCAGTGTTAAGCTGGTGGTGGGCAACGGAGAGGCAGAAAGAGAGAGGCAGGGATGATGCTTTCTCTGCCAGTGTGTGTGTGTGTGTGTGTGTGTGTGTGTGTGAGAGAGAGAGAGAGAGAGAGAGAGAGAGAGAGAGAGAGAGAGAGAGAGAGAGAGAGAGAGAGGAGACTCCCTAGTTTTTAAAAGTTTTATTTAAAATAAATTATGTGGATTTTGCTTTCTTGCTTGGACTGGAAACTCCTGGTAGAAAAGACTCGATGGTGTTTGTCTCTCTATAACTGTCTCTCTGTCTCTTTGACTGTTTGTTCTGTCTCTGCCTGTGTCTGTGTCTCCTGATCCAAGCTGAAGCAGTGATTGGATCCTCAGTGTGGTCTGGATTCCCGAGTCCACCCCTTAACCAGGAGTCTGAATGCTGTTCATTCATTCATTTCATTCCACATACCTGGAATTGAATCCTGAACGCAAATAACATGCAAATCCGTGGCTCCCTGGCACTTTTTAAAACCAGGTCTTTCTGTGGAACTGGCCAGAGAACCCTCCTGAGCCAAACACACCAGTCAAGACTCTAACCTACCCTGATCACAGCATCCCTTGTCTCCTTGCCCCTATCCTGCACCCCTTTTCCTTACAATCTAACCTCAAAGAAATGCTCCCTCTGCTCTGACTGTAAAGCTCAGTCTCCAAAGAATAAGACGTAAAGCACCAGCTTCTGAAAGATCTCCCGCTATGTTGGTGAAAGCATTTTTATCTGTGTTGAGTTAGAAGAATCCCTTGTGGACTCCAGGATATTTTTGAGTTTAACATTTTCCTAGGCCTGGTTAGGATTTTCCAGCCATTTGAAAGTGGTTGAAGCGAGGAGGAAGAGCTTCAGGCCACCCTGTATTCTGGTTCCCGAATGTGGTTAAAGATAGCTGAGGGCTGCTGGGACTGCATGTGTATTACCGGGGGGGGAGAAAAGGCCCTCAGAGTGGGGGCCTGGGCCCAGTTTTGAGTCGGAGTCAGAGTTGCTTCTTGCCCCAGCTGCTCTGGGTGCTTGTTTGGTCATAGGTGCTGCAGAAGTTACAGAGGCAGTGGGCCTGGGGCTCAAGTTCCTTGAGGAACTTGTGTTCTAGATGCTCTTCTTGAACCCCAGGAAAAATGCTTTGCTTCCTGTGTACCTGTGCCCCATTTACCATCAGCCCATCACCAGCCAATCATGCCTACAATGGCCTAGGAGGCCCTGCACACTCCCCTCTCCCCACTGCCACCTTACCAACACCATCCCCTACCACTGTGCCCAGGTTCACTGGTCCTGGCCACACAGGTATTCTTAGGTGTTTGTCTAACAAACCAACCTTGCTTTCATCTCACAGCCCTTCTACGTGTTACTTCCTGTCTGGAAGGCCTTTCTCTAGATTTCCTCCTGACTGACTCATCCCTCTGCCCCCCACCCCCCTTAGTGGAATGTTAGCCCCACACCCCAATTATTACAATCCCTAGCTCTCTTCATTTCCTTCTCTGTAGCATTGATATCTGACTATATTATTTACTCATTTGTTTTGTCTGTCGCTCACTAAAATGTCAATGCTGTTCATACAGCGTCCCGGGTGCCTGGGATGGTCGGAGGTGACAATTGTGGGAGTGGATGGATTATCGCTACTCAGCATCTCTGAGTTGTGCTTCCCTTCCATTTTGATAGCCTCTGCCTATTCAAGTGCTCATTTCCTCATGTCTGGTTTACAGTGAGACCAGAGACCCTCTCCTGGGGTCTCTGGATTCAAAATCATCATCCATTTAGCAGTTAGAGCTATCTTCATCCAATAACATTAGTAATAAGAGGAAGCATTTGTTGAGGCCCTTGCCCAAACTTATATGCCAAACACTTTATATACGTTATCTA